AATCTGGAGAGGTGTGTTGACTCCAAAATGTGACCGAGCGATTCTAACCTTACTTTTGATATAAAAAAGAATCGCTTGCAGGAGTGCAAGGACCGCTACGTAAATCCTCAAGTCTGCAAAGGTTACGCAGAGCGCGGCTGGTGTACCTCAGACGATCCAGGAAGGCTCGGCCTTGCGAAGGCGAACTGCGCAAAGACATGTAACCTTTGCAGCTCCACCCAAGAGCCCGCCCCCATTCAAGGTGCAGAAGAATCTGGAGAGCCCGCCCCCATTCAAGGTGCAGGAGAATCTGGAGAGGTGTGTTTACTCCAAAATGTGACCGAGCGATACTAACCTTACTTTTGATATAAAAAGAATCGCTTTTCAGGAGTGCAAGGACCGCTACGTAAATCCTCAAGTCTGCAAAGGTTACGCAGAGCGCGGCTGGTGTACCTCAGACGATCCAGGAAGGCTCGGCCTTGCGAAGGCGAACTGCGCAAAGACATGCAATCTCTGTCATAACAGTGATTTGCACGATTGTCAACCAGAAGCTCCTTCAATTAAAAATATTATGCAGGACGAGATAACAGCAACACCTTTTTTGGAACCTCCAGCATTATTAGGTCGCGAATCGAGCTAGTACATTTTACAACAAATGAGAAACAAAAAAATGGTGGCAAGACGAATCGCTGCAGCAACTCTCCCCATTGCAAGTTTTTATAAACAACCAGTGTCTTCAGTTATAGTGAAGAACTGAAGTCGTTGTTCTCGTCCAATGAGGTGCGCGAAGTCGAACATCAACCATTCATAGCTTCCCAGGAATGTGGAAATCCATAGACCAGCAAATGATCTAATCGAGCCCTCTATATCCTCGTTCTTGAAGTGATAAAGGGAAAAGAAGATAGTGCATTCGGCCCTCATCGAGCTATATTCTACTGTAACACTTTGTTGTAGTCCTTTATCGTATTGCATTCGGATACGACTAGATCTGTACAATTGACTTATGAGGTGGATTGATGTGTGCACAGGTGGCAGGATCTAGTGATTGTGCAGGATTGGGAATCAACTCGGATTTTTTTTTTGAAAAAGTAAAAACAAAGCCAGTACTCTCATGACAATCCGTCGAAACACTTGCAGAGTTCTTACTTAATGCTCATGTTGATTTTGAGATGGTGATTGCTTCAATGATGTTATAACCTTATGGGCCTCTTTTACTTGCTCGACAATTTTTTGCGCTCCATGCCACGACTGGATTTATCTCGGTACCTGCTTATTATGAGGGAGGATGACTAAAGCGTTTAATGCAACTGCGGAAGTGAAGCACGCTCAAGTGTGATATTTTCCCAGAATGTTGACCTTATCACGGCAGGCAACCGATCACTATGATTGTGACCGCGTGTTTGTTCCTTTGATCTTCTGTACTTCAAGAGCAATGATGTGGAAGCTTCAGCTAGATAACAAGAATTCAAAATCTTGCAAAGGAAAGATGATCGAATTTACGCGACACCAAAAACCATACAATGATTCAAGAGACTAAAATCTTTATAAAAGGGCGATGAACACTTGCTAGATAGCTATGAATAAGCAGCGGAAAAAAACAAACGGAAGTCTGTAATGGAACGACGGAGAACCACAAATCGCATTGAGCGTTGGCTAACTGATCCTTACCATACTTAAACCTAGGTCAATGGCCTGGTTTTTTTCCACGAGCCCTACAGTCCCCGTGGCTAAGAATTTATGAACAGAACTGTACAGAAACTAAAAAGTCTTTCTCTAACAAGGAAAGGATACCAAGTCGAAGTGGCCATCCGTAATGAAACCCTATACTCATGATGTGTTTTCGGACGCTGATCTCGAATCCGCTCTCCAAATTTGCGAACGACTTCTGAAAAGGGTTATAGGGGTTGTTTCCAATTTAAGCTCGCTGTAAGCGAACACCTGCAGGCACATCCTCATGGTGACGGCTTGGCCAAGCGGTAGTGTTGGCGGTTTGCAGTGGTGAAACCAATGGATGGGATCATGCTGGGTATGAAGTTTTTGCTCTTTGTAATAGGTCTGTTTTCTGAGTGTGAAATCACTCCAAGATACGAATAACACTGTCAAGCGTCACTCTTACCGAGATCTGCTTCAAGCATCCATCCACTTTTGCCCACATGTTATCACCTACCGTCGGATGTTTCTACGGCCACGAAGTGACTATCTTCGAGACGGGTCTTTTAAACAAATAGGAATTATTGCCTAGCGACAACAATTATGTTGAAGACTTACTTCTAGAATGCTGACAATTTGGACTGAAACTTGTTCGTCAATCATGTTGGTGCCTACACCCCTAAGTAGTTCTAAGCCACTACCCTCGTGCTATCCTGCCATGAACGGCAACTTGAAAAAAATGCCATACAATTCTTGGCGATAGCAAGCAAAGCATACACGTATACCTCTTTCGCAACAATGATTGAAAGTTTAGTTCCATCCCATGATCAGGCTCTGACAGTGGGTTGATGGATAGATGACTGCCCACATTTTCGACTTCAAGTCAAAATTTTAGATTTGGACCAAATGTTGTTGAAAGGGGTGTTTCGACGCGCTGAACACGAATATCGCATCTGCTTGGCACGAAATTGCCTTACGCGTGCGCTACGGGTGCCAGGGCGGTTATTGCAAATGATGCGCACAGTGCTCGAAGTTCTTCGCCAGCTCTTTCCATTTGTGACATAGGCAATCGCTGATGACTTAGCAACTGATAAAAGATCCTCCCTTTGAAACAACGTTCTCAGAAAAAGCAAAAGTGAGAACTTGCCAAGAACTTGAACTCACGACCTCTTGTTCGTCGGCCTGGCCGCTGCCACTGCACTATCTCGCTTCATAACTACATTCAGAGAATCGTTTCGCAGATTTGGAGAGCAGATTCGAGATCAGCGTCCAAAAACACATCTAGTGGTACATGTCTCGTTACAAATGGCCACTTCGACCTAATGTATCCTTCCCTTGTTAGTGTGCGGGACCGTGCTGGTTTGCTCCGTGAGCGAGCGCAGTTGGTCCGAATTCGACACCGATGCCGTTCCTGTACAGAGATTATCATCCAAGCCGGTCTTCTGATTGAATGGAATCCGATCATTCTATTACCGCATGGGACGCCAAGGAGATTTACTGCAGTGCAGATGCTACCTCTCGCTTCTACCTCATTTTGTGGCTCTGTATAATCTCATAAATGTGAGCGTGAAAAGCATGACTCTTCTTTTGTCATTTTACTCGAAGGAAGCGACTAACCAGGACCTACCTGATTTGGTTGCAAGTTACTTAATGTATGGGCTCCAGGGTGCTGATGATCGTTCAGTAAGCTTTTGGCGTGAGATTTAAACAGTGACACGGATTTTTAGGACTTCCCAATAATATAGACTCGATATATGATGTAGTATAATAATATGGTATAATGGCGAGGACAAGCTATGGTAAAAGCACCATGGAAAGCTGAGTTGGAATGAAATGGTGCCCCGGTAGCGTAACTTGTAGCGCACTTGCCCGGAAAGCGAGAGGTGCGGGTTCGAGTCCCGTCTGGCGAAAAACTTATCCAGCATCTTGTGAAACCATCAGGGTCCGCAAACCGTTTGATATCTTATCTGCGTCACAATGTTAGTCTGCTGTGCTCTCTCTATTCGGACCTACCTTGCACCCTCCGCAAACCAAATGTCTCTTATTTCCGTGCGTATCCCTTACAAGGAGGTCTTTCAGGGCAAGCCGCGCTTTTTGGAAACGGTTTCTTGCATATTGTAGGGACGCATGTATGGACCACAAAACCATGTTTCGTTTTCGCTGAACGGTTTTAGTAGTACCAAAAAAGTGGTGAATGATACCCTTGATGGTTCGATCCCCCGCGGCGACTAAATTTTGCAATCAAGGTTGGCGGCCTGACGATGAGTGTGACACCTGATTGTGACATTTAGCGCGATTTGGCACCAATTCGTAGGCGCCAACCCAAATGCAAAATTTAGTCGCCACGGGGATCGAACCATTAACAGTACCTTATGCTTCTTTTTGGTACTGCTAAAACCGTTCAGCGAAAATGAAACATGGTTTTGTGTTCCCTACATGCGTCCCTACAATATGCAAGAAACCGTTTTGAAGCTTGCCCTGAAAGACCTCCCTTGTTAGAGCCCTTCATTAAATCCGTTCGTTGAATGTCGGATCTGAGGATGTGGCGATTCAGCGGTTATAGTGAAAGGAATGTAAATCGGATGACTAGAAATCGTCGCCACATCGTACACGGCAATGCTTGTGGGTGGCGTCAGTTCAAATCAATTGCATCCTAGTCCTTTTAGAACGTACCAGCCATATCGCAGTCGCTTTATCGCGTAATCGGCAATTTTTTACGTATTGATACTCAATAACTGCCTCAGGCAATTAGCACGATTCGCTTATTAACCGCGATGGCATGAACGGGAACCTTAACGTTTCCCGCACGCGTAGAGCGACCAGCTGCGTGACTTCTGTTCTTCCTTCTTTTTTCCTCTCTTGCAGTTCATTTTCATTGCCCTAACATTTAATATTCCAGTTATAATCACATTTAATTTAATCCTGATCTTGTCTTCAATGACGTAGATGGACGTAGATGAGGGAACCATTGTTGGGTCCACTTCCCAAACTAATAGTGCTTTTGAGGTGTCCGTACAGGATATCGGTACTGGTAAAAATTGACGGTGCTACTGGGGTATTGAGCCATTTCAACCTGACGCACCTTCAAACATAGGAACAAGTTTTGGGAGAGTCAGATACATTTTGACAACAACCTCAGGCACGAAATAATTGGCAATTTTTCAACTATGTCGAGGTCAACGGGAAGGTAGGAAAAGCCGGAGAATATTTACCGTTGTTCCACATGTAAACAAAAAGATTAACACAAAGTCTGTATTGGTCAAGGACAGCAATAAATCTTCAATCTGAAACGTCCTTGACATTTATTTTAGCTTGTACGAACAATTTGTGTCGGACGTTATTCGAAGAAGCAGCGTGTTGGATTGAGCTCTTCACTTCTCAATGGAGTCCGATTGAGGCGCCATTCGCTTGATAAACCTAAATGGAAGGAAATCAACTCCATCCGTGTTTTTTCTACAAAAAATTCTTACCTGATGCTGGGCTCCAGTCTTGACCATCTCTTACTCAAACTCAAAAGCTCTTTAACATGGCCGCCATCTACGTAATCACCATAGTTGATAGCGCTAACCATTTGCTCTATCGATAAAGTGAAGAGTACTGAATAATTCATCCTAGTGTGATTATAATAGCAGCAGACGTAGACTAAGCACTTACCTACAGCGATAGCCGTGAAGAGCACTCTTAAAGACGACGTCATTTCTTTACCTAAAACTGTAGCATTACTCAGAATAAAATTTAAAAAAAAGTTAGCGATGAAGAGCGCCACTTCGTGCAGAAACGAGAAGAGGTACGCTTTTGTTAAGGAAGTGTTCCAATGAAATAATGCAGAGATTTTCTTAGCCCATCTAGGGATGAAAACAGTGGCGAAGATTCTTCTTGAATTTTCCATGATGCCTATTCATGTTATTGCATAGCAGCTGTACTGAATTCATGACATTGAGGTTATCCGTAATGGCAGTGAGAATGGCTGGAGGGCGGAGCGGTTCCGATGACGTCATTGGACGTCATTGGTGAAAGAGCGTTTGATAAGTCGTTTGGGAGAACTTCTCGCTTCTTCCTCAGCAATGAATACGTCAGTTCTGATCACTACAGACAAGTATAAGATTACAGTTTCCCAAGAGAGATGTGGGGACGGTCCGGGTAGGTTGGGCGGAGAGAAGGGAACGCCCTCGGGGCGGCTACGTATCAGGCGACGCATTGAAAGCGCTTGAATTTGGAGTGACAGACTAGTGACAAAACAATCGAAAAGAGGATGCAATGAGGCCAAAGAGAGTTACTAGTGAAGGCACTCTGAGAACTAAGTGGAATCGTTCCCACCGCCGTTTGTGACTGATGTACGACGGGACTTAAAGCGTAATAGTTCCGGTTTTCGAATTGTTTACCAAAACAAAACAATGTTCACGGTTCTTTTCGTTCTTATCGTGAATGATGGGTCTCAAGCCAGTGATTTATGGCTGAAATAGAATCATGATTTTTCCGTGGACTATTAATTTGAGAGGCGGTCTCAACCACACCCCCGAGGGCTCCAGCCATCCAATCCAATGATGCTCAATGACGCCATCGAAATCGCACCGCCCTCTAGCCATTGTGACTACCGCTTTCAAGAAAAAATATTCACACATACATATATGAATTCAGGAAAACCGATATCCGAGAAATCTAGGAACTTTCTTCATATTTTGTGAGAAACTAAACCATTTTTCACCCTTGTGGCATACCTGGAGCTGCCGGGAAACGAACATTTTAGTGTCTGAACACTCGCCTCCCACAGACTTGAAAAAGTAAACAGTACCATCTCTCCGATCCCGCCAGCAGCGCATGTCCAACCCATCTCGGAAAGTTCTCATGCATTTGGCCAAGCGTACTTTTGAATGGATCTTGCGCTGAATGAGACCATTATGAAAATGCTCGATCCCATCAAAAAAGCTAATAATTAGGGGATATGTGCGATTCAAATAAGTTCGTCCATTTGCCTTCTTCACCTGCCGGCTTGCAGATTATCACCTGCCTGGTTCAGACACTTGAGATGAAGATGGAACAATGGACAGATAAAGCAAGTTTTAGAATGTCTCACCAGACCAGGTAGATGACAATGTAAAAGGTACAGCAATGAACACGTGGGTGATATTGCGTAAGCTATTGTTACTGGTAAGATATTCAAATAGACATTCCGGGGAAGCCTCGGGCGGAAGTGGTAAGTGACAAGTGGCGCGCTTACCACCGCGAGCGGTCCGGGGATCAAATCCTGGGTCGTGAGTCGCCCGGCCAACCAAGCCTTCCATCCCTCCGGGGTCGGTTAATTGGTACCAGACTTGTCTGGGAGGATAAAAACACTGACTTGACATCGGCTGGCCCCCGCAAGTCATTGTATAGGCCACATCGCATTCAAATGCCACTGCGAATGTACAAATGGAAGTAGAATGCGTGCCGCATCCCAAAAAGGGATTGATCAACGGCAAATGCTTTATCTTTTTTATCAAGCTATACGAAGAGAGACAAGAAACCCCTGGCTCAAATGTTAATGTTTGTTTTCAAAACACGTTCAAGTTAGACCAGAGAGGAACCGCGTCACCTCGGCAATATAAAACAGAATGACGGACGAATAATCTGAATTCAATAGGTGAAACATTCAATTAAGCTCCTCTCCTTCAAATGACGGCTAAAGCAAATACTATAAAAGCTGCCTTTGGAGCCTCTTCAGCTTAATTAATAACAATCGAAAATCGGATACAGCGATTGCCTTCATTTTCTAGTACTCTTTCGGAGAATTCCTTCATTACCATTCTTGAAAATAAATAAGACAATAGGTTGCTAAACTATAGCATAGATCTCTCTTGCTCTCCGCCACTAGTGGTAAGTGTGTAAAGTCAGATAAAATGAATACTGTCAAAGCCGAAACAGAAAAATCTTAGTGCTGACCATTCCTGTTACATTCATGCTGGAAACAAACTTGTGAAGGATCGGAAACAATTTTATCAACATCTCTACGTAATCTCGTTTGCTAACGGCAGATTCTTCATTTTTCTTTTTCTTCTTCGCGTAATCCCGCACAGACGCAGGGCCCACATTTCATGTCACGCGTCACCACTTGGTCCTGTCCAAGGCAGGGTCAACCGTCCGTTGGACCAAATCCAATGTGGGGATCTATTTGGCCGACGGGAGAGCGGGGTCGTATTCACAGGAGTCAACGTCCTTGTAAGGCCGATGTCAGACTTTGCGAATCGCGCGATTCGCTAGCGTCCGCGGTCGCGTTGCGGTACCAGCCAATTGAGTGATTCACTGGCCGCGACGCGACCGCAGACGCTAGCGAATCGCGCGATTCGCAAAGTCTGACATCGGCCTTGGGCGTAACTTCGTTAATTCTGTGAATACGGGGGGGGGGGGGGGGGGGGGGGGGGGGGGGGGGGGGGGGGGGGGGGGGGGGGGGGGGGGGGGGGGGGGGGGGGGGGGGGGGGCCCGCCCCCGTCGGCCAAATACGATTCGACCAAATTATACAGTCAGTACACGCGCACGCAACCGCAGGCGCTGACGAATCGCAGCGGTTCGCAACAAGTCTACATCGGCCTAATGGCGAAATGTGACACAGAGACGGAATAAAGCTTAGGCTCAGGCTCACAGCATTAAACTACTAGAGGCTAAGCTAACTGAATGAGGCCGTTTGCTGTCGCGACAGTAGGTAAGGTGTATAACTTTCGAGTACTTCTCCAAGTATTAACCACAAATGAGTGCATGGTGCATCTCAGATCGTAAGAATCTGCCACAGAATCATATTTAATTGTTCCTGTACACAAAATGTTCATCGAGAAATTATGCCCTCATAATTGGGGCTAAGTTCAGTAAAAGACGTGGCACTGAGGTAGGTAGCGCTCCTCCTTGATCGTTTCGAGACCCTTCAAGAGGAGGGTCGTAAAATTATTAAAGATTCGGTCCAACGTGAGGGTTGACCCTAGCCCGAGGCATCTTCTGCTACGGGACTGGCTTCAGCGAACTCATTCTTTATGACCTCCTTCACCTCACCTTAGGGACTCCACACGGTCGCTTGCTTTGCACTTTGAAGTCTAGTGCTGTTCTCTGGCTGACCTCTGTAGTTCAACGTTCGCGACGAACATGCTACAGACGGCCAGGTCGTGAGCTGTGGTAAGGTCCACAACCTTCTACCACTCAGCGTTCCTCGTTTCTGTCCCTTCCACCTCCGTGCATCCTTTCCAGGCCTCTTCTTCACTGCCAACATGGCCATTCGAATCATCTGCTGTGGTTAGATGGTCCCCCTCCGAAGCCGATTTGATCGTTTCGTCCAGACTCAGATAGAAGACCTCTTATTGATGGCAGATTGTATAGAACTCCTATTAATATAAAGGATAAAGCATTTGCCGTTGATCAATCCCTTTTTGGGATGCGGCACGCATTCTACTTCCATTTGTACATTCGTAGTGGCGTTTGAATGCGATGTGGCCTATACAATGACTTGCGGGGCCAGCCGATGTACAAGTCAGTGTTTTTATCCTCCCAGACAAGTCTGGTACCAATTAACCGACCCCGGAGGGATGGAAGGCTTGGTTGGCCCGGGCGACTCACGACCCAGGATTTGATCCCCGGACCGCTCGCGTGGTAAGCGCGCCACTTGTCACTACACCACTTCCGCCCTTTGAAATAGCTGACAGCAACTGTGCATTCAATCTTTTGCTAATGGCTGCTCTGCAGTCAAGACTAAAGAAACTGCTCTGTACCAAGAGCTGTTGCAACCTAGCCGGTAAATACAATAACAACATTCAAAATGCTCTTTCAGTTGTGCCCCGGAAATAGCGTTTGTGATGGTAACACTGTTCGCTCTTTTTTTGTAAAATATTTCAAGGCAAAGGACTGAGAAAGGTGAAAAATTCAATTGACCCAAAACGCTGGAACGTTCTTTTGCCTGCCGTCACCTAAGCGATGTTCTCCTTTGAGACGTAAATACAATAAGACAGTAAACAGAAGCCAGCATCAGCATGAGGATCAGTAGCAAAATATCTTGAGAGTACAATAGTTTTCAAAAATCTACATAGCGGGATTCACAATTAGGCCAAAAGCTTTTTGTTGGAAGCTTTCTTGGATGCAGCTTTATCGCTCTGGATCATGTTATTTCAAAGCTGAACATGATAAACCTAACGGTGCTACTAAATACTAAACTATCGTGTGGCTTTGTTAACGGACCTTCACAGAAACAAGACTCAAAGTTAACGAGAAATATGGAAAGCACTGAGTTGCGAAAAAGCATTTCATTAGATTGGCAGCAGCCAGCGGGATTGACCGAATCATTCAGTCTCTAAATGACGATCAACGGCCTGATCCTCGATTCACAACCATATGAAGGAAATTTTTCTTGGGCTCTAGGCTTAGCTTGCTCGAACTACTTTTTTGGAGCTCTTCTCATTTTTTTTTCTAAAACTCAAATCTGGAGGACTCGCCACTCGAGAAGTCTGGATCAATTGCTTCATTTTACAAGATGTATGATGTAAGACATAAGCATAGGGGCGCAAGCTACACGAACACAGTTCAAACAAAACTAGATCGTACTTGTAGCCTTAGACTTTCATCATAACAAGACAAGGTCGAGAATGGTTGGCTTTCGCAAGTCATATAGAGAGAATAGGTTTTGAAAGGTCTCCTAGAAGTCTGAAAGGAGTTCAAACCACACACGCGTGAGAGAATCTCAAAGCA